GTGATATGTGCTGTGATTGGCCAATGTTGGGGTCTGGTCACCACTTTAGTTGAGGGGCCACACACATGATGAAGTCATGAGAAGCTAATGCTTAGTTAATGATGACTACTGTATTTGGATGTTAACAGAATTCACGTGATATGTGCTGTGATTGGCCAATGTTGGGGTCTGGTCACCACTTTAGTTGAGGGGCCACACACATGATGAAGTCATGAGAAGCTAATGCTTAGTTAATGATGACTACTGTATTTGGATGTTAACAGAATTCACATACTATGTGCTGTGATTGGTCAATGTTGGGGTCTGTCCATTTTCCTGCAGGCTACTATGAAGAAGATATGAACATGCTTGATAACTCATATCATATTTAATGAAAAACATTAGTTCTCACATTCATTGATATACTGTTGTAGCATGTATGTATGCATGAGGTAATGTGGATTTTTGTATATTCCTTTAATAATTCAAGTAGTCTTACATGCACGAAATAATGCTTTTTTGAATCATGTGCCATAAGCATAGCTTTATCTTTATTGAAGATGCAGGACAACCACCTAGCAGTGCATTACAATAGTCCAGTCTAGAGGTCATGAATGCATGAACTAGCTTTTCTGCATCAGAAACAGGTAACATGTTTCGTAACTTGGCAATGTTTTTAAGATGGAAGAATGCTCTTTTTGTAACATGGGAAATATGATTTTCAAAATACAAGTTGCTAATATATATCCAATATAACACCCAGATTTTTGACTGTAGAGGAAGTAACAGTACATCCGTCTAGTTGCAAATTGTAATACAAGAGATTCTGTGTACTGTCTTTTGGCCCAATAAGCCATCTTAAACTTTAATCATATTTCAAAAACAGAAGTAATTATGAAATTACATGTAAACATTCACACTTAAGTATATTCTAAGTATAATATTTCCACATTAATAAGTTCTTTTTTTAAAAGTATGCTAAAAATATGTTTCTATTTCATAAAGGGTACAATGTTATTCTTTGATTGATCATGGTAATTCTATGTTTAGACATAGACCATGGAAGAACTACGGTATTCTTTGAAGCACCTTGGACTACTACCACATGAATATGAATATTGTAGTCATGCAACTTCCAAACTAAATTTGGATCTATATTTTTGATGATGATGATGATTATGATGTAATTTTTTAATGTGTTTTTAAAATATTTGTTTCTAGAGTAAACCCACCAGTGAGTCGGCTGTGAGTAGCACAGGGGACCCCATGCATCACAAACGCTCCAAACTCAAACCAGATGAGGAGCCGCCCAGCCCCGGAGCCGTTAGCTCGCAGGTACGCACATGTGCACATATATGTATAGGGCTAAAAACACACACACACACACACCACCAAAAAAGAAAAAAAAACCCTCAAGGAGTCAGTTCCCGAACACGCAGCAAGAGCTTTGGGACCAATTATGTGACATACTGTAAAGCTATTTATTTGCGTGTTTGATTTGGTCGCCTGTTGTGGCACTGCTTCAGATGCGATAAGCCCCATTGATCTCCACAGCTTCAGAAGGAAATTGTTTTTCTTTTAATCAGATGATTAACTGAATGGAAAAATGAAAGAAAAATGAGATGACATATTTTCTACAATGCCCCTTATAACTGATGGTTGGACGACTGCTGGATGGCATAAATGGACCTCCGTCTTTTATTTTTTACTTCATGCTTTTTCTAATTTTTTTTTTCTGAAGACCCATTTCCGTAGTTTTTTTTTAAATTATTATTATTTTAGAATAATACAAATAAAAGCTGTCATTCATTCTTTCTGTCTCTCTGTCTCTTTTAACAGACAGTGAAATACATTTAGAACAATGCAGCGGTGATTTAAAGGGGGTTTAAGTCTTCAAATGGCCCAAACCCCTCATATATCTGCTTGAATTCAGACTGGTATTTTTAGTGCTGCTATTCTATAATTCTTGTACTCTACAGATGTCCATGTTGACAGACAGGCAGATGTAGCAGCACACAATAACTTCTCTCCAAATAGACCTAATTATATATATAACCGACTTTTGAAACCACCTCTGAATTCACAAATCCTGATTTCTATTTCCAAAGCTGTTAACACTTCTAGAACTTCTAAACAATTGCTAATTCTGCATAATTTGTGGCACCTACTGAGCAAAGTGCTCTTTCCAGGGCATTATAGGATTTTTTTTTTTCTTTTATAAAAAGAATAACATCCCTGTAAAGACATACAGCTAAATATTTTCTCAAGAGATATTCCAAATGTCAGAAGCATTTTTATTAAGTTTAGCATTGTGTTCATGATACAAATAAGGTACGAGGTCTCATCTAGCTGTCATGTACTCAAAATAACATAATTTATCATCGTCTGCACCATTGAATAATGCACATTTACCAGGCCACACATAAAATATTATCTCAGAATGAAGTAATCCCTTCATGCTGCAGTAATACACATTAGCATATATACGTTTTCAAAATGAGCAATAAACAGTAACAAAGCGACTAAATATTTTTAATTGTGATGAAAGTTGCTGATTTGATGCAACAAAAACAGCTGTTGACCAGAGTTCAACTTTACCCTAATGAGCAGTGATAACACTTTTCCTTAGTCAAGTCAAGTCACCTTTATTTATATAGTGCTTTTAACAATACAGATTGTGTCAAAGCAACTTTACAGCATTAAATAGGAAAATAGTGTGTCAATAACGCAAAATGACAATAGTAAACACTCAATTTTCAGTTAAAGGCAGTTCATCACTGAATTCAGTGATGTCATCATCCAGCTAAGTTCAGTTTAAATAGTATCTTTGCAATCATTTGCAATCAAGTCAACGATATCGCTGGAAATGAAGTGTCCCCAACTAAGCAAGCCAGAGGCGACAGCGGCAAGGAACCAAAACAGAAAAAATCTTGGGAGAAACCAGGCTCAGCCGGGGGGCCAGTTCTCCTCTTGCCAGACGAAACCAGCAGTTCAATTCCAGGCTGCAGCAAAGTCACATTGTGCAGAGGACTTAACTGGTTCCTGTGGTCTTGTCCCGGTAGCCGTCTAGGAGACAAGGTCTTCACTGGGTATCTGTCTCTGGGGCTCATCTAGTTGTCCTAATGTCATCTCTGCTGACATTCAGGGCTGTCAAGATCATCTCTAGGTGCTGATCCACCATCTGGGCTGGATACGTACTGGATCCGGGTGACTGCAGTGACCATCTGATCTGCATACAGACTGGATCTGGTGGCTACGGTGACCTCAAAATAAGAAAGGAACAGACTAATATTAGCGTAGATGCCATTCTTCTAACAATGTAGCAAGTACATCGTTCTCTTTTGTGGTAGAAGTGATGGTTCTACCATACTTGTAACAAGGAGTAGAATTTACAGTTTTAGCTATATGAAGTTTGCACAAGACTAGATAATGATCTGAGATATCATCGCTTAGCTGCATAATTTCAGCACCATCAACATCAATTCCATGTGACAGTATTAAATCTAGAGTATGATTTTGACAATGAGTAGGTCCTGACACGTTGTCACGGGTTGCTACTGTGAGAAGCATGGAGCGAGGAACGAGGAGACCAGGACTACAAAACAAAGGAGTTTAATTCTTTTTTTCAGGGAGTCACACGTAGCACAAGGAGTTGAAAAACAATTCCAGACAAGGGAGAACAGAACGGGCTAGAACTAAATAGGGCCGATAACGAGGGGCAGACAGGTGATGGCAATAACTAATAACAAGGAACAGGTGATACTAATAAAGGGAAAAGGAAATGGAAGGACCAAATAAGGACAACAGGAACTAAATGGGAACATACACGTGACAGATCGCCCCCCTCCCGGACGGCGCCTCCCGCCATGGCCATGGCAGAGCAGGGGACTCAGGAGGCCATGGCGGGTCCTCCGTGGCCTTAGCTGGCTCGGCCACGGGTATATGGCCCCCCCCCCCAAATTTTATTGGGGAAATCTAGGAATCCTGCAGGGCGCACTGGAGGAGCGGGCACTAGATGGTGCTCTAGAAAGCGCTTACGAGGAGCGGTCACTGGAGCGAGCTCTGGGGCTGGAGCCGACACTGGAGCGAGCTCTGGGGCTAGAGCCGACACTGGAGCCGGCTCTGGGGCTGGAGCCCTCCCTGGGCTTGACTGGGGATCAGGAGCCCTCCCTGGGCTTGACTGGGGATCAGGAGCCCTACCTGGGCTTATCGGGGATCTGGAGCCCTCCATGGGCTAAACTGGGGATCATGAGCCCTCCCTGGGCTTAACGGGGAAACAGGAGCCCTCTCTGGGCTTAACGGGGAAACAGGAGCCCTCCCTGGGCTTAACGGGGAAACAGGAGCCCTCCCTGGGCTTAATGGGGAAACAGGAGCCCTCCCTGGGCTTAACTCGGGATCAGGAGCCCTCCGTGGGCTATACTCGGGAACAGTATCCCTTTCTGGGCTGAACTGGGGATCAGGAGCCCTTCCTGGGCTTAACTCGGGATCAGGATCCCTCCGTGGGCTATACTCGGGAACAGGAGCCTTTCCTGGGCTGAACTGGGGCTATCCTAGGTACTACCAAAAGTCCAGAGTTTTGCGACCTTAGGGAGCGTGGTGGATTGTAGCATGGTAGAAGTCTAGTTAGGTATGCAGGAGCTAACCCATTAAGGGTCTTTTAGGTAAGTAATAATATTTTGTAACTGATACGGAACTTAATAGGGAGCCAGTGCAGAGACTGTAAAATTGGGGTAATATGATCATATTTTCTTGACCTGGTAAGGACTCTAGCCGCTGCATTTTGGACTACCTGTAGCTTGTTTATTGAAGATGCAGGACAACCACCTAGCAGTGCATTACAATACTCCAGTCTAGAGGTCATGAATGCATAAACTAGCTTTTCTGCATCAGAAACAGGTAACATACTTCGTAACTTGGCAATGTTTCTAAGATGGAAGAATGCTGTTTTTGTAACATGGGAAATATGATTTTCAAAAGACAAGTTGCTATCTAATATAACAATATTACAAAAATACTACAATGACATACTTTTTACCAACCCATGTAAGAGTAATATCTATTCATTTATGCCACGGCGGATCCTCCGTGGCCTTAGCTGGCTCGGCCACGGGTATATGGCCCCCCCCCCCAAATTTTATTGGGGAAATCTAGGAATCCTGCAGGGCGCACTGGAGGAGCGGGCACTAGATGGTGCTCTAGAAAGCGCTTACGAGGAGCGGTCACTGGAGCGAGCTCTGGGGCTGGAGCCGACACTGGAGCGAGCTCTGGGGCTAGAGCCGACACTGGAGCCGGCTCTGGGGCTGGAGCCATCCCTGGGCTTGACCGGGGCTCAG